TTAGAAATGCTCAATCTCTTAAATAAAGTCAGTCCTGACAGATATAAGAGAGAGGTGGAGGGCAGATATATCAGCCCTAGAATGGTGAAGGCCCTGTTCCCTATGAGCTGAAAAAGGTTTACCTCAGGTTAACTAGAGACACCTGTGGCCATTTAAGAGCTGCCAATGACCTTTAAAAACCCCCTTTTTTGTGAGAGATGGGTGATAAGCTGCAGCAGGGCTAGTGGCAGTAGGGGAAAAACTTCTCTTGCGTGGAAGGCTGTTCTCCTTCTTACAGGGGAAGCAACCTCACTAATGGACTGTTTGGGGGAAGGGCTGATGCCAGAGGCCAGCATAATGCTACACCCCAGAGGGGGGTCAGGAAAGATATTTTCCTTTTTATGTTATGAACTTAGTACCATTGGGCCTACCCTGAGGCCCGCCTTGTAAATATGGAGGAATAAAAACATGAGTGGGACTGATTTACCCCAGGCTCCCACCAGCACAGGGGGAAACTCTGTGCCTGGTGAAGCAATGGAGGCTCCATGCCACATACTCATCATATGAAAGCTTTTTCCATTTTCCTTACAGATGTGACTATAGAAGTGCAGAGGGGTGAAAAGGCATCAAGGGTAAAATCCTGGCTCCCTTGAAGTCAATGGCAAAATTCCCATTGACTTCAATGGAACCAGGATTTCACCCAAAATATTTTTGACATCAAAAAGGGCTTGGATCATGTGCATTTCAAGAGACAAGCAGAAATCAAGGTCCGTCCCCACTTTACCATCCATACTTACACTAAGCCCTGTAAAGAAAAAGAAATTAATTTTACCTTCTAGGAGTTTATGATAGAGACTGTTATAAAAGCATTTGCACAAGTTTTTGGACCAGTCCAGAGTGCAAAGAGGACAGTGGCAATCAGAACAACTTCAGTAACAGCTGCACAGAAACTAGTGGTGTGCATAGAACTGGGCTGGAATTTTTGTGATGTAGTCTTTGATTTAGATTCAGAGGCCACTTTCCAAAGTTCATACCCACATGTACATGGTACTGATGCTAATCTATAGGTAGTTGCAGAACATATTTCATGCTAGTTACTTCATTGAGAATGGATTGCCTGGGTGAGAGAGACTCACAGCACAATTAAGAACAAAAAAGTTTTGTTTAACTCTTCTGCTTTTATGTCCCTATGATTCGGAGAGCTTTTTCTGACCTCCTACAATAACAATAATCTGTTATCCACTGATGAATCAATATTTGGGTAGTACAGTCAATGCACGTTAACTGGTGGTGGGAAATTTAGCAGATCATAGTTCAGTGGGTGCAAACAAGTTATAATGCTGGAAGACAGGAAAATAATCAGGATTCCAGTTATAAATATAGTATTTGCATGGCTTGTATATAACTTTTCCTCTACTGTATTAATAATCCTTATACCCAGAATGAAATATCAGAAAGTTATTGTCTGATTTATGTATTCTGTCTTCTGCAGAATTGGATAGCACCTAGACTTTTTTGGAAATGAATGTTTTGATTGGTTGACTACTTAACTTCTCTCAGGTTTCTTGTTTCAATCTGCAAAACAAATGCATGCCCCAAAAGCAGATCCACATATGGAAATCTCTATATATATCTCCCATATGTTTATCCATATATATAAAAGCAGTCATTAATTTCACAAAATGTACAGGTGATGAATATATTTAGACCAAACATTAATAAAATGCAATTGTTTTTACTTTAAAAACATGCAGTTCATTTTATAAAGTAAAAGTCAAGTTGAACCCCTAACGGCAGAACTCAGGGACTATCTTGAGCATCCAGATTTGAAATGGGGCCTGCCAAATATGTTTCAGATTGCAGTATAGCTAAGAAATATGTTTTCCTTAAGGCAACAGGTAAGAAAAATCTGAATGATTAATAGAATAATGATAGCACTCACCCAGCATCCTAGAAGAGCACTGTTTGCATGGTCATATAAACAGACCTTCAGTAGAGTTTAGGTGTCTGAGTCACTTACGCACTTCTGAAAACTACTCTAGGCACTAATACATAATATATGGACATTCTCTTTATAGTCCTGCTGAGCAGTCTTTGCAAAAAAAATATATACTCACCACTTGTGTTCAAGAATCATATGCTTTATTTTGAGTTCCCAGAAATGATAAGCCAAATAACTGTTTCTACAACTTTTGAGCAAGAAGCATTTATTTTAAACCAGGCACAAAACGATGGCTATAAACAAGCAGCAAACAACCTTGCTCCAAAATCGTCTCCTGTGCTTTTCTTCTAGTGATCAGAAAAATGAATGGCAGAACAAGTTTTAAAGTGGGAAGGAGTATGTCGGTATTAGTGCCTAGAATAGAGTGTGTGGGGGGGGGGGATCGATCTAAGTTACACAACTTCAGCTACGTGAATAACGTAGCTGTAGTCGACGTACTTAGATCTACTTATCGCAGTGTCTTCATTACAGTGAGTCGACTGCTGCCGCTCCCCTGTCAACTCTGCCTGTGCCTTTCGCTGAGCTGGAGTACCGGAGTCGACGGGAGAGTGCTCAGGGATCGATTTATCACATCTAGACTAGATCCAGCTGGTAGTGAAGACATACCCAAATTAGATGAAGAGTAAAATTTTCAGAAGGGCCTAAGTGATTCAGACACCTAAATTCCATTGAAGGTCAATGCGATTTAGACCTTTAAGTCATTTAGGGTCTTTGGGAAATTTTTGTCTTAATCCTGGCTCTATTCCTAATTCTACCACTGTCTCATTCTCATTGAAAGTCACCTCTATGCAAAGAAGCAACATAAGGCCAATGTACCACTTATACCCCCTCTAAGTCCTGGTGACTTTAGAGAGATGGAAGCAGTGCATAGGCATTGTGCTAGACCTCTGCGTGGGGGTTCATTTTATTCTCTGTAACTTTCATCATCTCATGTAAGTTCTAAGTTATTCAGTTTCCCCATCTGTAAAATGGAGGAAATAATGCCAAGCCGCCTATGTAAAGGTGCTCTGCTTATTTTATGTCAATGAAGGGTTTGTGTGAGCAACAAATGCAGGTCAGATACTTCACTTATCTGTAGCTGTCTTATTGTTTCCTGATGATCATGAAGTCAGAAGAGAGCCTTGACCACTCAGAGAATGATTCAAAGCCCACTGAAGTCAACAGGATCTTTCATCTTTCAGCAAACAAATTTCTTCTGGTTATCATTCCTATTGCAAGAAAAGCTGCATGAAGCTCCCTTTCTTGCTTTCGTCAGGCTCGGGTATGCCGTTTAGGCAGGCAGGAGTTTAGTTTCCAGGTCTTCATCAGTATCAGTCAAATTGCAAAAGGAGATGGGTCAGGAAATAGCATATCCTCATAGACGCATAGACTTTGAGGCCAGAAGGGACCATCATGATCATCTAGTCTGACCTTCTGCACATTGCAGGCCACAGAACCTTGCCCTCTCACTGCTGTAATAAACCCTTGCTGAGTTACTGAAGTCCTCAAAACATGATTTAAAGACTTCAAATTACAGAGAATCCACCATTTACACTAGTTTAAACCTGCAAGTAACCCATGCCCCATGTGCAGAGGAAGGCAAAAAAACCCAGGGTCTCTGCCAAACTGATCCAGGGGAAAATTCCTTCCTGACCCCAAATATGGCAATCAGATTGACCCTGAGCATGTGGGCAAGAACCATCAGACAGACACTTGGGAAAGTAATTCAGAGCCCTCCCCATCTAGTGTTCCATCACAAGCCGTTGGAGATATTAGCTGCTAGCAGTCGCAGATCAGCTATATGTCATTGTAGGCAGTAAAAAGCAACAGAGAGTCCTGTGGCACCTTTAAGACTAACAGATGTATTGGAGCATAAACTTTTGTCGGTGAATGCCCACTTCGTCGGATGCATTCACCCATGAAAGCTTATGCTCCAATACATCTGTTAGTCTTAAAGGTGCCGCAGGACTCTCTGTTGCTTTTTACAGATCCAGACTAACATGGCTACCCCTCTGATGATTGTAGGCAGTCTCATCATACCATCTCCTCCATAAACTTGACAAGCTCAGTCATTAAACCAGTTAGGTTTTTTGCCCCCACTACTCCCCTTGGGAGGCGGTTTCAGAACTTCACTGATGGTTAGAAACCTTCATCTAATTTCAAGCCTAAACTTATTGATGGCCAGTTTAAATCCATTTGTTCTCGCATTAATATTGGCAATTAACTTGCTCCTGCTCCTGAATGCTATGCTATCATGAATTCTCTCCATTTTGGGTTTACGGCACAAATCATTAGAGAACATGGACTTAGACATGATCTAAATTTAGTGGTAACAATACTTAGAGCTTCTTGCCTCTCAAGGGCAAAAAAAAGCAAATATTGTCAAAATATTTTCCTGGGGTGGTAATAACTGGGCTCCCTTAGACATATTTGTCACTCAACCCTGCAAAATTTGAACTCTGGGGTACATTTTTCCTTACACCTAGATTTTTTTTCCATTGGTGCCTCTGTATTATTTCTGAAGGTTTGTACTTTTAATTTCAAGTGCCTGATTGAATCTCATTCCTAACACCTAGTATAGTCATGCTAGGTCTCCTTTCTTCTTCCCCAGAATAAGTTTTGGAGTGGGAATGCATGTATTTGTTTTTCCTGATGTGTTGATTTATGTGTTACTTTGTTCTTTATCTGTTTGCACCTCGTCAGTAAAATAACATCATGCTATCATTTCCAGGGTTCACAGGACCCTGTCAACAGTTACCAGTCAAAGGTCAGCCAACCTAAGAACGCATGGTTAAAGAGGAGAAAGAAACTCACACATTATTAATCCCAAGATGTAAAATGAAGAGAAGTTTTACTGATATATCTAATAAAATAGCATTCACATATAGCATTTTATTATCACTATAGTATGCTGGCAATGCTGATTCTGTAGAGTTATATCCATCACTTGGATGACTAATTTTTGGAGTGGAGAATACAGTTATTTGTTTTCTAGATGACCACTGATTTATGTGTTGCTTTGTTCTTTATCTGTTTATAGGTATCCAGGAGAGCCATCCCATATATCTACTCATTTCTATCTTTCTTTCATCTTCTAAGTTGTCTTTGACCAGTTCATCTTTCCTTGACATTATCTCTCTGCCCGGTAAGCCTTTCAGTTTATATTTATTACAGTCATTTACAGGTTCACAGGACTCTGGCAACACTTAATAGTCAAGGGGCAACAATCCTTCCTTAGATGCAATCAAATAAATAAATCCACCTGTTATCCCCCAGTGACTACATCAGTTTTTGTATAACAGTATAGCTAACATAGTGGGTGAAATCCTGGCCCCCCTGGAGTCAGAAGGAGTTTTGCCATTGAGTTCAATGAAGCCAGGATTTCACCCAATATGTCTGTGGTATGTTAATAAAGTATTTTAGCAATCAAGGGCCCAATCCCATCAAAATCATTGGCAAAATTCCCCACCAACTTCAACAGTTCAGGATCCAGCCCCAAGTTACTGCAACAATATGTCTCACAAGTGGAATTAATGTAGTATTGTATTGTATAATTACATATAGTAGTGTGAGCTAGTTAAGAGAACTGAACATCTCACAGAACTGACCCCGTATTACATGGTATATTGTGGGCCCAATACTACAAATAAATACACAAGCCTGGAACCTTTTGCTCCCATGGAGTCTCGTTGACTTCAGTAAGACTCTGTGTGGACATAAGAGTGAGGGTGTGCATGTCCTTCTGCAGAATCAGAGCCTTAATTAGTAGAGTAGAATATTCAATAGACTTCTGCTATTCATGGCTCATGAAATGACATCTCAAAATGTAATTTATATTCTTTGTTAAAACAGAAATTATAAAAAAATTGCTGAAAGATTTCCACCTTTTATTTTATAATATTATATATAATATGGGGAGATTTATAGCATCATAAGATTCTTTTATGAAGCTATTTAACTTAATGTATGTATTTAAATCAACTACCAGCACTTGATGTATCTAGGATTCTGATTACCAAGGATTTCAAAGCAAATAGTTCCATCATTCTATGGCCAAGTCAAAATTTAGTAGTTTGTATCTAGTCTCATAGATGTTTTCAGTGTAACTGCTACTGTTCATGCATACTTAGGGGTATGTGCAGGAATTTAAATTTGCTGGGGCAGATTCTGTGCCCTACCACAGCCCCAGGGCTGGAGGAACTGTCAACTCCCGCTGTGGCCCCAGGGCCGGAGGAACTCACTCTCCCCACTGCGGCCCAGTGGCTGGAGGAGTTCTGTGTCCCTGCTGATTAATGGGGGGTCCTGCTTGCCCTCCTTATGCACATCCCTGCTTAACATATTCCTTGAGTAGCCCATTGGCAGTCCAAAATATCTTCCAACCAGATGTCATTTATCCAAATAGTTACTTCAAATATAAAATAAATGTCTTAATGTTAACTTTAGATAAAATTTTGTAATTATTTTGGAATGTTTGGGGGGATTATTTATGAAAGGGTAAATTATCAGATACAGCATTATCCAGTGGTTAGAGCAGAGGTCTGAGAATCAGGAGTCCAGGGTTCTGTTCCTAGGTTGGTCTCTTCTTCCTGGGGTAGCAATTATTTCTGAGAGCTCATAGGGGATGGGTGAGGGACCAGAGGACTGGAGAAGGGCAAACATAGTACCTATTTTTAAAAAGGGAAACAAAGAGGACCCATGGAGTTATAGGCCAGTCATCCTAACTTCGATGCCTGGAAAGATACCAGAACAAGTATTAAACAATCAGTTTGCAAGCACCTTTAGGATAATGGGTTATAAGGAATAGCCAACATTGATTTGTCAAGAACAAATCATGCCAAAACAATATAATTTCCTTCTTTGAAAGAGTTACTAGCCTAGTGGATGGGGGGAAGCAATAGATGTGATATATCTTGATTTTAATGAGGCTTTTGACATTTCTGCCACATGACATTCTCATAAGCAAACTAGGGAAATGTGATTTACATTAAATTACTATAAAGTGGGTGCACAGCTGGTTGAAAGACAATACTGAAAGTAGTTATTAATGGTTCGCTGTCAAATTGGGAGGGTGTATCAAGCGGGGTTCCAGAGGGGTCTGTCGTGGGCCTGGTACTATTCAATATTGTCATTAATGTCTTGGATAATGGAGTGGAGAGTGTGCTTATAAAATTTGTGGATGACATCAAGCTGTGAGGGGTTGCAAGCACTTTGGAGACAGGGTTGGAATTCAAAACGACCTTGACAAATTGGATAATAAATCAACAAGATGAAATTCAATAAACACAAGTGCAAAGTACTTCACTGAGGAAGGCAAAATCAAATGCATATCTACAAAATGAGCAGTAACTGGGTAGGTAGTAGTAGTACAGAATAGAATCTGGGAATTATAGTAGATTATGAATGGAATATGAGTCAATAAAGTGATGCAGTTGTGAAAAAAGCTAGTATCATTCTGGGATGTATTAACAGGAATGTCATATGTAAGACAAGGGAAGTAATTGTCCAACTCTACTTGTCACTGGTCAGGTCTCAGCGGGAATACTTTGTCCAATTCTGGCACCACACTTTAGGAAAGATTTGGACAAATGGGAGAGAGTTAGAGGAGAGCAACAAAAATGATAAATTTTAGAAAAGCTGACCCATGAGGAAAGATTAAAGAAACTGGGCAAGTTTAGTCTTGAGAAAAGAAGATGGAGGGGGGCACCTGATAACAGTCTTCAAATATGTTAAGGTTAAGAAGACCGTGATCAATTTTTCTCCATGTCCACTGAAGATAGGATAAGAAGTAATGGGCTTAATCTGTAACAAGGGAGATTTAGGTTAGATATATTAGGAAAAGCTTTCTAACTATAAGTGTAGTTAAGCTCTGGAATAGGCTTCTAATAGAGTTTGTGGAATGCCCATCATTGGAGGTTTTTAAAAATAGGTGGACAAAGATTTGTCAGAGGTGGTCTAAGTTTACTTGTTCCTGTCACAATGTAGGGGGATGGACTCTCCACATCCCTTCCTGAAATAAATAAAAACTTTCTAATTTGTCTGAAAATTTTCATGGACTTTTTTTAGGGGATTTTCTCTGAACTAATCCAAATATTTTCAGATTTTGGTTTTTCATTTTCTCCGCATTTTATACCTTCACTCTGTCTGACCATTTTTACAATAGAAAAGCAATCTGGTGGGTGGGAGGGTGAGTGGGGAGGGGTGGAGAAAGAGAAGGGAACAAAGCAAAAAACGCTGCATTAAGCAATTTTAGGGTGAGTGTAACAGGGGTTGTCAAAAAATCAAAATATTTTTGACAAAAATAAATATAATTCACAAAAATGTATTTTGGTCAGACAACCATTTTTAACTGAAAACAATGTTTTGATAAAAATTTTCAACGACTCTAGTCAACAGACTCAAGTTCTGTTAGACCCCAAGTGTAGGGAGCAAATTTTAAAGTAGAGGCTTTCTACTGTTGCCTGAGAATGTTCTGCTTTAAGAGTAGAGACCTGTTAACAAGACCCTTAGAGAACAGATTCTAGTGCTGCTAGATTACATAAGGAGAGAGGTAGTCTCTGAGCTGACTAAGAGGCTGTGTATGCTTTGAATCACACTCAGAAACTACTAGTCTTCAGATAATTAATAGTATATGAACCTTATGGATTATACAGCCTAGCAGGTAGACAGTTGCATTCTGTGCTACTTGTAGTTTCTGTGCCAGATTCAATGGTTTCCCCATATATATTGTATTGTAATATACCAGGTGAGAGGTCACTAAGTCATGAATAACTGTAGCCAAGTCAATACTTGAGTGGAGAGGGAGTAATCTTCTTACCAGACAGATATTTCAAAAAGTGCTTTTAGACACCTAAGTTTCTTGACAATCCAGGAACAAGCCTGGATATGAAAGTACCCTTAAACAGCATGTATTCTGTATTGACAACTCTCTGTCTCCTTGGCAAAGCTGAGAGAATCCCATTCAAAGAATTCAAAATTATAAAATAGTACTTGATAGTATCTCTTAGAAGTCTTCCTCTCTACAATGAGACAATCAGATTTGAATGCCTACTATATTCAGTGCTATGTATAAAGATGCTGTGTTACTTTGACCTTTACAGTATTCTCTGTTTTGATTGTATTGCCATTCATTCCTTTCCCCCTTCCATTTGCATCTTTGCCAGTCTGAGAACTGAATTCTAAGGATCTGGAATATTTAGAATATGCAAAAATGCAGTGAATTTGTCTTTCAGAACTTACATACATGGGTGCATGAATCCATTATTCAAAACTCCCACAGAGTGGGAAGTTCATCAGTGGCAAACATTAATGTAATAATTAAGATGCATTCAGATTCTGTTATGAAACTCCAGTTCCACTAAAGACTGCTTGAGACACCTTAGCATTGCTAATGAGCTATAACCTTTATTATCTGCCCAGTCATTCCCCTAATTAAAAAGTCTCAGTCGTTACCATCTCTTACATAAAATCCATGCACGAAAAAACAAAGCATTGCCAACCAACACTGGTACAACATAAATTACAAAACAAGGACAATGGTAAACAGTGTAATAACAAATGATTCTATGGTGCCTTTTACATTCCATTGCATGTATTTATTTACAGTTATTGATGGATTTTGCATGACAATAGATCTTCGATGATATTAAGGGTTTCTGTCAACTATAGGGCTTTTTAATTTGTAGGGTACATTGGACGTTAACCAATATTGATTTCAGCAATAGATGGCTAGCAACCAGTGGTGCAGCTGCACTTGTGTTAACATAGACAAGGAAATATGTTATTTGCACAAATGTAGTTTACCCCTCTTTGTAAATAGGGGCAAGTTATCATTTTCCTTCTGTGTGCTAGGAGTGAAATCTTGGACTTATTGAAATCAATGGGAGTGGTCCCATTGACTTCAGTAGGGACAGGATTTCAGCATGGGAGTTTGCTCTGGTACAATTAAACTATATTCATTCATTTCAAGCAGAAGTGAAAATAGATTCTAAAGGTTAGATCACCTAATAAGGGAACAAAAACAATATCATGTGAGCGTCAATCACATGAAGAGTACATACTCATACTAGAGAGTTTGCAAGCAATACATATGGTGAAATTTGTTTGCACAAAACAGCCACAGAATGAGTTCAAACACTGAATAAATTT